GCTGTGATTTTAGTTTCTTGTGACCAATTCCAATTAAATTAAGTCAATACAGTGTGGAGCTGGAGGAACACAGCAGGTCAGGCAGCGTCAGAGGAGCAGGAAAGTCGACATTTTGGGTCGGGACCCTTCATCAGTACTCCATACTGTATTGACTCTGACTCCAGCATTCACTGTTCTTGCTATCTCCAATTAAATTAGCATTGTTTTATCAGCTATTGTTTTTGAAATAATTTTTAGGAAAATCACTATCAGATCATAACTGCACAATTGTGCCAGTCAGTCAGAGAGTGGTGTGCAGGAGAACGCTAGGAAGGTGAGACAGCGATGGCTGCCAGCTTAGTATTGAAGGATATGCATTTTGTCAGATCTCCTTGAGATCATTGACATTTTCTGGCACTGAATCTGGTTCCTGGACATTGCAATCTGGCTACTGATCAACTCAGCAACTTCAAGCGAGGCTGTTTTGTGAAACTGACAGACTTCCTCTTACCGTTCTCACTGCCTGAACCAGCAGCTATGGTGAAGAGTCTAAGAACTGGGATGTGGTCTCCCATTCCCTATCATGCATTATTGCTTCCCCTCCTTCCCACTGTTGTTCTCTGACTGGTGTTGCCATTGAAAGTACCACCATGGTCCCTTTAACAAATCCTTATTTGCAGCGTTAGATGTGTAACCCTCCCCCCACCCCCGCCTCAATTAGCTTGGGAACTCGGAAGCAGAAGGTATTTAGTTTGCTCTGCAGAAGATCCAAGACTGGGCTTGCAAATCAGCGAATCTTGTTCCTGCCCCAGGTGCAAAGGTAGGAAGATTCAACCCACATATACTCACCCAATTGGAGAAAAAAAAAGGTTCAGGCATTTGATTAATTGTGTACCAGTTGCTGAACTGCATCTTTGAACAAAAGTAAATTTGGGTAATTTCATGATAATTAATTTAATTTTCCTTGGCTGCCTGCTGAGTGGAAGTATGTTTCAATTGCATTTTTTTTAATTAATAGGTTTTTTCTGATTATGAGTAATTGAAGCATGCTGTCTTGTTCTTGAGGGAATATTTTGTGAGATAAGATTTCTTTGACATGTGATTCCTTCAACCGTGGATTAGAAACAGGACTTTGAATTATGTAGATATTGTTCTCTTCCAGGAAATACCTGACTAAATCAGACTCTCTTTGCAATGTGTAATCTGTAACTTGTTGCCTGAAAGTGGTTTTTAGAGAGACTCTGGACCTATTTGTTATGCATACCCTGAAATCCAAGTACTTTGGAAGAGCTTCTTTATTGCTTCACACAGAACTTATTGCTCCATTCAATAACACCCCTAGCCTCCTCCAGGTTGGCTGTTCTTTAAAAATTACTTTGTGATGCATTTGGTAGTTGAACCCAGATATCCTGGTCTGGAAATGGGAGTTATCACCCCTTACACCTTAGTATTTATTTTAATCAACTGTTTAGATTATAGTAGAGCCAACGAACAAGAGAATAAATGATAGAATGCAAGTTATGATGAGGTTACACCGGACATTGATGAGGTCTTTTCTGGAGTACTGTGTCCAGTTCTGGTCACCCTGTTATAGGAAGGATATTAATAAGCTGGAGAGGGTTCAGAAGAGATTTACCAGGGTGTTTGCTGGGATTGGAGGGTTTGAGTTGGCAGGTTGGCCTTGAACTTGGATCTTCTGACATGACCACTGCTCCAGAAGACCCCCCCACCAAGTACATGTTAATAATTATTTTAATCAACCCATTTGGACCCACAATGACACACATTTGGATAGGTGGGACTTTAACCCAGACCTTCTGGCTCAGAAGGAAGAATACTACCACAACACCACTAGACTTTTCAGAACTCACTCTTACATTTCTTAATCAACCTGATCAGATATGTTATGAAACACCTTTGGTGAGACCAAGGCACCTTTACCAGAGGCAGGGACATTATATCTGTGTGTCTTAGTTATTTTAAGCAACCTCGAATCTAGGCCTCCTAGTCCACAGATTGGGATGCTATCACTGCACCACAAGAGCGCTTTTTTTTACTGAAGTGTAGAAAGTTTGTGAGTGATGGAGGGCCAGGGTAGGGGACTCACCAGATACATTATGACACATCTCCAGAACTAGTGGGACTTGAAACCAGACCTTCTGGCCAGAGGTAGTGACATTACCACTGCATCACAGTAGCCCTTCTTGTACACCATAGTTTAAAAAAAAGTCTTCTGATCAATCTGTTTAGAGATATTATAACAGACTTCTTGAGCAGGTGGGACTTGAATCTAGGCCTCCCGGTTCAGAAGTCAGGACACTACAACTGAGCCATAGGGGCCCAGCTCATATAGTTAACTAAATAATACACAACACTTATTTGCTTGTTACTTTTAACTGCTATGTATTTGAACTTCAGCAATTGATTTTGATACTAAGTAGGAACATGGCATTGGAATTCTTCAGACTTAACTAATCTATGAAACACCTTAAAAAGAAACATTTCTTTTAGAGTCATAGAGTCATTTAGCACAGAAACAGACCCTTCAGTCCAACCAGTCCATGCCAATCATAATCCCAAACTAAAGTAGTACCACCTGCCTGCGCTTGGCCTCTATCCCTTGAAACATTTCTTATTCATGCACTTAACTAAATGTCTTTTAAACATTGTAACTATCCACATCCAGCACTTCTTCTAGGAGTTCATTGCACACACAAACCACTGTCTATGTAAACAAAATTGCCCCTGATCTGTTTTTTAAATCTTTCTCCTCTCACTATGGGAATATGCCCCCTACTCTTGAAATCCCCTACCTCGGGAAAAAAAAATACGCTTGCTATTCACCTTATCTATACCCCTCATGATTTTATAAATCTCCATAAGGTCACCTCTCAATGTCCTCTCCTCCAGTTTAAAAAAAATGTCCCAGCCTATCCAGCCTCTCCTTATAACTCAAACCCTCCAATCCCAGCAAACACCCTGGTAAATCTCTTCTGAGCCCTCTCCAGCTTATTAATATCCTTCCTATAACAGGGTGACCAGAACTGGACACAGTACTCCAGAAAAGACCTCATCAATGTCCGGTGCAACCTCATCATAACTTGCATTCTATCATTTATTCTCTTGTTCGTTGGCTCTACTATAATGTTAACTTTCTGATATTTATGTACAAGATTACCCGAAACCCCGGACAATAATGTTTGATAAAAACCGAAAGAACTGCGGATGCTGTAAATCAGGAACAAAAACAAAGATGCTGGAAAGGCTCAGTAGAGGTGGCAGCATCTGTGAAGGAAAAAACAGAGTTAACATTTCAGGTTCGGTGACCCTTCCTCAGAATAATGTTTGATAATTTCTTACCATTTCAAATTGAAACTTTTTTATTATCCTTCCCACAAAAGTGAGTCGCATTTCACCATATTATATTCAACCTGCCAATCACACAATATAGACAGCAAAGTATCTGATAGGATGGGATATCGCAAACTCTGCTATACTCAGTACTTTCATGTTGCAATATTATAATATCCAGTCAGAAAACTGCCTTCCCTCAGGACAAAACTGCACTGGGTCTCGAAATGTGAACTGGGTAGGGAGCAGATTTTGAAATGTCACTGAGTTAGTTTAGAAATTTTTGCTGCAAATGGACATTTCTCCACGTTATATTCCATCTGCAAATTGCTTGCACATTCAGTGAACCTGTCCATATCTGTTTACAGCCTCTTTGGTCGTCCCCGCAGCTTTCTTTCCCACCCAATGTGGGTCTTGTCAGTGAACCTGGAGACTTTACATAGAAACATAGAAGGTAGGAGCAGGAGTGGGCCATTTAGCCCCTCAAGCCTGCCCAGCTATTCACTGTCATCAAGGCTGATCATCGAGCTCAATTCCTAAATCTCACCCTCCTCCCATATCCCTTGATTCCTTTAGACACAAAATCGAAATCTAGGTCGTGCATGAGGAAGAGAGGTATAAAGATTGTGTATGAGAGAGTCTTCTTGATCACCTTGTCAATCTGTCTGACTGCCTTTTGGGACCTATAGACATGTAGTCCAAGATACCCTTGTCCTTTCTCACTTTAAAATGGTTTAATATTTTGTATACTTCCTTGCCTCGTTTGTCCTCCCCAAAAACATTAATTCACATTTCTCTGGATTGAATTCTGTTTTAGATTTTCCTACAAGTCTGATTTCTCCACTCCACCCCTTCAATTTGATGTAGTCCAATTCCAGACTTTCAAATTGAAAACACATGGAGAACATTGTTAAATTTAAACAAAACAATTCTTTTCATGTCACCACCTTTATAACAGTTAATATTTTAAACTAGGGCGACAGCAAACTCAATCAACAAATAGCCTTCCTGCTCCTCTGATGCTGCTTGGCCTGCTGTGTTCATCCAGCTCTACGCCTTGTTATCTCAGATTCTCCAGCATCTGCAGTTCCTACTGTCTCTCAATCAACAAATACTTGCTTTTTTTTTATTTACAAACTACTTTATACAACTAGAAAAGAACTTACATTTATAACTTACCTTTTACACCTTTGGATGTGCAAAGCTGATTACTTTTGATTTTTGAAGTGTGTTCACTATTGTTCTGTGGGCAGACATAATCAATAGCTTACAGCAAGGTTCCACAAACAACTGTCTTGATATTGGTCAAGAAATAAATGTTTCAGAACATTGGATAAATGGCCCTACTCCTCTTTGAATAACACCAGAGAATCTTTTATACCTACCTAAATAGTTAAAGCCCCATCTGCCCAATCTGAATGGCACCCCTTTCAATAATACAATCCTCCCTCAGAACTGCATTGAAGTGTCAGCCTGGACACCAAGAAACAAACATTATAGTAAAACAGAAGTGGATGTGAACAGCTCTTCTCTAGTTTCCAGATTTGCAATAATCCAACAAAAGAACGTTTTTGTTTTCTAGATGCAAAGAAAATTTATAAATGTGCCAAATCTGACATGATACCATAATTTTCCATCTTTAACATATGCAACTTTGATTTTTTTGATAGACTCAACAGAGTAATAGAACATCAGGCAGCACATTGATGAAGGACATAATTTATGTCACACTGGAAATTTTGTCGAACTGGGGCAATGTTGACAAAGTTGGCCTAACAGAAGTGCAATTTTTTGACCTAAAACATCAGAAGATTTTTGTTTCTCCTCATGATGTTGATGTCAGAAATGCTCACAGTCCTGGGAACTTGAATCGTTTAGTGAATGGAAAGACAAAGGTAAGTGAAATGGATCTATAAAGGAAAAGGTATTCCTTTTGTTTTCTAATTGTATAATATAAACAAGTTGTCTTTGATTCCAACGATACAAATAACTGCTCTGTTGAAAAGTTAAAATAAATGCTAAATTAGATTTTCCTGGTTAAAATGAATTGCTTTCCCATTTCCAAATTGAATTTCATATTAACAACCCTTATATTAAATAAAAAGTGAGATGAAAAACACTTTAAATAACTGGCTGCTTCACATCTATCAGATAATGGAATGCCAGCCTCCACAAGAAATTGGTTCAGTCCTCCTGTCTTATGGAGTCTTGTGGCTTTCAGTGTATTTGGTTTTTCAGTAAGTGTAATGGAATGCTTTCCACTGGTCTGGATGGATGCGGTGAAACAACACTGAAGAAGCTCAACACCTTTCAGGTGAGAGCCACCTGCTGGATTGGAACTCTATCCACCACCTTCAACATTCACTGCCTTCACCATGAATATATGTGGCTGCAGCACTGGATGCAGTACTTTAAGACTCTTTGACAGCACTTTCCAAATATGTGACCTATAACATCTAGAACCACAACAGCAGGAGGTGAATGGGAACACCACCACTTCCAAGCCACACACCACCCTGGTTTGGGAGTACATTGCCATTTTTCTGCTTTCACTGGATCAAAATCCTGGAACTCCCTCCTTAACAGTACTGTGGGTGACTGTACACTGCATGGACAGCAGTAGTTCAAACAGGCTGCTCACCACCACCACCACTACCACACAGGAAAGTAGGGATGGGCAATTAATGCTGGCCTAGCAAGTGATACCAATGTCGTACAAATGAATAAATTAAAAAATCAAAACAAAATGAGAAGCATCCTCCTATGCTGTCAATAAAATATTTCCAATTCAGGAGGACTGGCAGTACATGATCTTTTTATACATTATTCATGCATACTGTATAAACATTTTAAAAATTCTATTCAATGCTCTTAATTAGTATGCTTCTTATTTATGCTTTGTAATGTCCTTCACCACTTTAATGGTGATCCGCCCAAGAGCAGGTCCTCTGTTCATTTCTCCATGTCTCATGTTCTTTCCTATGTAGCTGCTCATATCACAGTATCACTACAGTATGGGAGCAAGGCTTTCAGCCCAACAAGTCCACGCCAACTGTCCGAAGAGCATCCTGCCCAGACCACACCCCCTACCCTATCCCTGTAACCCTGAATTTCTCATGGCTAATCCACCTAGATGCTACGGGCAATTTAACACGGCCAGTCCATCTCACCTGCACATCTTTGGACTGTGGGTGGAAACCAGAGCACCCAGAGGAAACCCGCACAGACATGGGGAGTATATGCAGACTTCACACAGACAGTCACCTGAGGGTGGAGTTGAACCCAAGTCCCTGGCCTTGTGAGGCAGCAGTGCTAACCATAGAGCCAATGTGCTGACCCAATATCCTCCCATTTTAAATTTCAATGAGCAATATAACTGGGGCAGAGGTGGTTTTTCATTGCCTTCCTCATATGTGCTTAAAAGAAACACTGTCTCTCCTCCTGACTGATCTTCCATTTGCAAAGCCATTGTCCCTGGAGCTTCTAGATTTTCCATCATCACAACCAAAGTGTTATGGTCCTGGCATTGGTCAAGGCTTATAATCCTAAGCATAGGGCTTTTGTTTGGATGACAAAAATGAGGTCTTAAATGAGCCTTTCACATTAATCTATCACCTATTAACAGTAAAATATAGTGCAGTGTCTTAAACTTTAATGATTCTAAATCCCATTTTAAGATGCAAGAGAGAGAAAAAGTTCGAAGAGATGCCATCACTCTTGAAAGCCTACATTTAACTTGTTTTGAAGCTGCCCACACCCAAGAAGGAGATATTAGCTGAGGGATTAAAAGCTTAGCCCAACAGACACATTCAAATAAAGGTGTCCAAAGGATGAGAGAGCTGTTTTTCTTTAAAATTTTCTAAAGTTTTGGTCAGAAGTAATAAGACATAAATCGATTTACAATAATAGGAAATATGTTTGATAACGTACTATGTTTCAGTTGTCTTCCACAAATATTAACTTATTCTGAGTAATGTGTAATGCAGACTAAACTTTAGCAATATTCAAATTATGAGGTAAAATCATAGAATTAAGATGTTCATTTTTATGACAGCAATGTATCATTGAAGTAATTGCCTGTTGACAATCTGCAGTGGTTTCTGCACTTCCTAATTTCTTTGTTTTCATTTAATTATATTGATAGTTTAAAAAATCTGTTCGTCCCTCTGTGACAGTTAAGAAAAGCTTAACCTGATGATGTTATTAAGATCTAACCTTTCCTCTTTCCACAGACTACAAAGGAACGTCACATGTGGACATGCCCTTTCCGCCCACCAGTTCAATTATATTTTGTTGTGCGTAGCCCAATCAAATCGTGTGACTTCGGTATTTCTAAGATCAAAATTTGGAATTATAATAGAAGCCTTAATGTAAGTTGCTTTTGTGTTTTCCTACTTCTGTGCAGATTATTACAAGGTATGTCTTAGAAAGTAAACTTTTTTAAGATTTACTAATTAAGCAAAATATATGGGTTTTCCTAAAAGTGAGTGAAAATATCAAGTGTTTGTTTGGGTAGGTGGACAAATCCTGTAATCGTTAAAACATGTATCTGGCACTGTGTAATGAAATAATGAGAATTTTGACACTTGTTTGCCTTACATTGGAATAGATAATAGGAAATCTCATAATGCATTGAAGTTCAGCCTATTGACAGAATACGTAAATGAGTAGAATGTAGAACACCAGGGGATTAACATAGTGGATTATTAAGCTTATCCTTACTTTACTTACACTCCACCAATAATAGCAATAGAATATGATATTGCTTATCCTGAACCAAGGAACCCGTGCGCAGCATAACATGTAAAGCTTATTGGTGTCTTTCTGCTATGTTGAAAGACAAATGTTAAGAGTCTACAAAAGACATTTAAGCAGTTAAGTTAAATAATTGCGGTATGTACTGTAGATTAGAACACAGTCTAAATCCAACAGTGTTATTTCTGCAACCTGCTTTTGTTACTTATTAGCATATTTAAGTTTCTGTTTTTAAAATCAACTATGAAAAGAATTGAACATTTCCTTACTGCCATTTTCTGTGGCTTTAAGAAGTTAGAAGTTAGTAGGCGCAGGAGTGAATTATGCTTTTCTTAAAAAAAAATTTAGGTATCATTTTTATCTCTAAACACTAAAAATTCAATTCTTAAAAGTAACTGAAAAAATATTAAATGCTCAACTTAAGTTATATTACAGTTCATTTGTTACCACCAATGAAATCAGTACAAATTCTGATTCGTAATAAACAAGATCTCAAATCAAATTTGTGATTTCCAAAGTTTTCTAGGAATGTATGTAAATATTTGAATACGTAAGCAATGCTGTGAATTCCTGATGTTCATGAGAATCAGAGTACGAACAGTTGTAGGCAGAGAACTAGGAGCATGTCAGCCAACCTGTCCTGTCTAAATTTAGAAAAGAGTCAAATTCTCAACTATACCTAAAGTGTTTGTTATAGTGAAGAAGTTATTTTATTTTAAGTTTTCAATTGTTTTCAGAAATTGTAAATAAAGAAATCAGATAAAATGTGGCTTTTCTTCATGAGAATATTGTAGCCATTATAATTTGAAGGTTACGGCATGATATTAAATTAGGATGGGACAATATGATTGTAGTGCTTTAAGTAATGAAGAATAGCAACAACTGGCTAGGAGCAGATCGTTTCCAGCAGTGAACCAGTCAAGAACGGGGGAATTGTGCGTGCAATGCTAAATGTAAGACATTTTAAAAAGAGGGTGAAAATTCTTTATACACTTTGATGCCCTGAATTCAGAATTGGTTTGAATAGGTGTGTAAGAGAAAAGGGGATACTGGAACAAGGGAGCAGTATGTTATTCAAACTATTTGTTTGAATGCATGATAAACACCAACAGGATTGAAAGAGCTAAATGGCCTGTTTTCTAGCTGTGTTGTATTTCAACAAATCACATTAAAATGCATTCTACATTTTTTTTATTTAATGCATTTATAATATTGCAAAATTTGCTTTCATTGTCTAAATTCCTTCTTTAGGAGCTTGATGTTGGGGCAAAGGATGTAAGGATTTATGTGGACAGTAATCTGGTATATGAAGAAAAGCTTGAAAAAGGCTGTGGAAACCAAGTGTTCGATTACAGTACAACCATTGACTTGAGAACCAACAAAAGCAAAGCTTCACTTGATACTTCCAGTGGGAGTGATATGGAAGAACAAACTGAAGAAATGGTGAGCTCAGAAAGAGGCCCAAGCATTGAGCCTCCAGAACAAGCAACTTCCTTATTCTTTCGAAATTCAGGTTTAAAGGAGAGAAACACAATTGATGCTTTCAGTGGGAGTGATACAGATGATCAAGCTAATGTAACTGAGAGCTCAAAAGCAAGCCTTAATATTGGTTCTCCACATCAAGCAAGGTCCTCATTCTTTTTAAATTCTCACTTAGAAAATAAGAAAACTACATTAATTGATTTGAATGATTCACCAAAGAGCAGAATTTCTGCCTTGGAGGAAGACATAACGTTAACAGCCTCAGTTTCACTGGAGGCATCGCTCCTGAGAGTAAATATTTCAGAAACCAATAAGGAAGAAGAAATTTATTCTGATGAAGAACCAGTTATGAAAGACCAGCTGGAGAAAATAACTGGAAAGAAAATAACAGAAATGCCATCAGCTTCAAAAGTACCATCGTGGCTAAAATCACCAGAGAAAGAAAAACCCAAGCAAAGTAAATGGAAAAAGCCTCCATGGCTCAGTGATGAGAAACTCGTAGATGTAAAAGTTGACAACAACTCAGCTAAAACTAGTGAGGCAAATTGTAATTGGCCAGATCTATCTGACCCTGTCAGTAGTTACAAAAACTCAATTGGTGGAACTGACAAGATTTTAAAATGTAATAAGAAGAAGTTAGTCAACTCTTCTGAAAAGGGCAAAGTACTTACTGACAAGAATTATTTAGATTTCCTGGATGACTTCAGTGAAAGTGAGTGTTATATGCCCTCATCACAGGATGAGGAGAATCAAAGAACTGACTTTCCTGTAAGTGGAAGGAGAAGCTCTGTGAAAAGTGCCAGAAATAAAGAACTTTTTAATATTAATGAAACTGAAGGACTTCTTAAAATAGGTACAGTGGTTTTATCATCTGTCATTTCTAATTTTTTTCTTAAAATTCATTTAAAACCTATTATGCTGCAGTTTAATGAGCTTTAAAGTAAAATGGATGTACATTTTTTAAAATTATTAAATAGAATGGATCAAGATTTTTTGTGTCTATGTTACTAGATGTGGAGGCTTCCAAAATCTAGTGTTTTTAAGACTCATAGCATTGGCCAAGATATATTAAGTACTATCTGAACAGATTCAACCAATAGTAATCCCCTTTAATATTACCACTTATCTGTCTGCAATTTTTGCAGCTAAGAATCTAGGGCTGACCTGTCCCAAATGCATCCATCAGAGCAAACCAGGGAGTAATTCATTCAGCACATGAGTAGTATTTCCCCTTTTTCATGACACCTGCTGCTGGAATTTTTGGAATTGAACGTCCCAAATGCACTTTTACAGCAGCTGAGGAACGATAAGTGAGGGGATGAGGTGGCACATGGGTAAGTGAGTGGGTAGGAGTTACGGTGCCAGGTGGGTGGGGGGTATAGGGTGCTTAGAGTAGCTCAGGTGGTTCAGACCGGGCAGGGCGTATTTGGACCAGCAGGATTGGGCATATCTCAGTTGTGTTGGACTGGTGGTAAGGGAAGAAGTTTGAACCCAGTCAGGTTGACCTGGAACAGGTTCAGGTCCAGAGGTATTATGGATTGGGAAAGTGTGGTTGGGGGACACAGGTAAATTGGACATTCAGTTCAATAGTTATCCAGAAGTTGAGTAGGTTTTTGTTTGTCGAACTTTTTCCAGAGTAATTATTAACTTTAAGCTAGTCAGAATCTCTGAATTCACTGACTTTAATGGACTGTTACGCAGGGTTCCAAACACAGGGGATTTTCCCATCAGAGAATTTTATTTCCTGGGCAATTTCTACAGAGTCAGCTATGCCAGGATTTCACTGGTACCAACACACAACTTTAGCCTGTACTGCTCCAACGATTTTCTGATCATTGGAATATCTGTGCCTGTGTGTATATTTTGAATTGACATGACCTTACATTGTACAGTCAGGTACATTACTTCAGTGATCAAAGACTTCAATTTCATGCTGTAAAATATTGTTTAAGTAACAAGATGGAATGTCTATAGTTCTTTATGTGCTGGGTCAAACATTAATTCTGCTGATGTCAGGCATTATTTATTCACTGCCATTAGATAGTCATATCTGTGTACTTCAAAGCAGCACAGTTAACTTTACAATCCTCTATTTTATGTAAAATATTGCACTCGGTGAGTGTGTAAGCGTCTAAGTTATCCTTTACTCCCCATTTATGTTCAGTTTTAATATCTCATCTCCCCTTTCCCTCCTGTTCTCAAATTTTCAATGATTATTAGCAAGCATCTCCCAGTCTTTCAATGCTGCCACTCTTCAAGGAGAATTTCAGAGTATATTTGTAGCATTTTCTTTTCCCTTTTCTGGAAAGCTGACAATTTGAGAGTTGAGAAAGCAGGACCTCGCAGGTAAGATACCTTTTGCCCATTCGGAGTGTATCCAGTCCAGGGTCTAGGCCTGAAATGTCAGCCTTCCTGCTCCTATGATGCTGCTTGGCCTGCTGTGTTCATCCAGCTCTACACCTTGTTGTCTCAGATTCTCCAGCATCTGCATTGAACTTCCTTTTTGTTACTTCCCCCAGGTCTTGCTTAAAAAATGTTTTATTTGAGTCCTCCTGGTTCTGACAGAAGTCATCTACATTTTTTGAAGAAGGGTCTAGGCCTGAAACGTCAGCCTTCCTGCTCCTCTGATGCTGCTTGGCGTGCTGTGTTCATCCAGCTCTACACCTTGTTATCTCAGATTGTCCAGCATTTGCAGTTCCTACTATCTCATCTACATTAACTCTGTTTATCTTTCCATACACGCTGTTGGACTTGCTGAGGATTTCCAGATTTTTTTTTTAATGTTGGATCTCCTACGGCCACAGTATTTTGCTGTTGTATTGGTGTTGTTGACCATTTGAGTTGCAAAGTGGACTAATAAGAACAGAAACCATTCTGTGTAATTCATCTTTTATGTTGTCTTTTTCAGATAATCAGAGAACTACTTCAAAGACTTCAGGGTCTTCAAGACCCAAGTGGCAAAATGAACAGGATGACACACTGATGGAATCATGGGATTCTTTATTAAAGTTTAACAGATCACAGCGAGGTCGGATAGCCAACATGGATTTTGAGGGAGACATTTTTGATGAGTTTTTGCAAGAGCAACGAATTGGAAGAGAAATAGGATTGAAATCCTTGCATCAGGAATCAATGCATGAAGTT